TATATATATATATATATATATATATATATATATATATATGTACCCGGGCGCAGGAGTAGAAGGGGCGCGCAATGGCCTAAATTTTTTATTTTATTAAAATAGTTTGATAAGGCATAAGGCAAAAGTAAAGTAACTATATGCTTGCGTATTACTAGATGTCAGTAGTTCATATGTTAATAATACATCATTAAAACATCTTATAAATATATATATATATATATATATATATATATATATATATATATATATATATATATATATATATATATATATATATATACATATATATATATATATATATATATATATATATATATATATATATATATATATATATATATATATATATATAAATATATATATATATATATATATATATATTTATATTTATAAAATGTTTTAATGATGTATTATTGACATGTGAACTACTGACATCTAGTAAAACGCAAGCATATAGTTACTTTACTTTTGCCTTATGCCTTATCAATCTATTTTAATAGAATAAAAAATTTAGGCCATTGCGCGCCCCTTCTACTCCTGCGCTCGGGTACAAAGTACCCAGTGACTTCCCCATCACGGCGACTATAAATAAATGTTATTTCACTGTTCGAGTTTAAAAGACGTATGCCCAGACAAATTTTTATTTAAAGAGAAATATGGCGGAAAATATGTTGGAAGCAAATAATTATGAAGTTTAGATAAAAACAAAAAGTTGAAAAAAATAAATTTAAAGTATTAATTTTAGTAAAGGTTTAGCGTTTGCATATCTACCAGCATTAAAAATAAACCGACTCTTTTGTTTTTGTTTGCTATAAATTTAATGATACTTGCCTACGTTATAATGCAATAACTAATATAGCTATGGATAAATGAAAAATGTGCCAGTCTGAATTTAAACTAAGAGCTGTTAGTACCGATAACCATGCTGCTAATATTAATGCATTTTCATAGTTTCATGAAGCATATACTTGAGATGAAAAATTATTTATTTACCATCCAGTTGAGAAAAGGAGTGTTCAAAGCATACTTATAATTTGATATACTCCATTTTACAAAAAAAAAAAAAAAGGTAAGAAACAACTTATTAAATGCAAAAAAATGTTTTTTTCTTCATTTCCATTTGATTTTTTCAGAGACTAAGTTGAAGTTATGAATAATTACATTATTTCATAAGGTTTATTTAAAGATCAATTACTAAACAAGCAAGAAAAAGCAAAATATATATATATATATATATATCAAGTCACTTATTTCGAAAACAACAAACAAGTTGCCAACCTTACATTAGCAATATTTGACGAAACAACTTCAGTTGCAATGTTGAGTTCTTGAAAGAAATAATGCTTAAAATTGTTATTTAAGTAATTCATTACACTTTATTCAAAGCAAAAACTCAATTCACCAAATCAACTTAGCAATGCTGCTGTGAATGATGGTAACAAACCCATACTTCATAGAGAAAATGCAAACTGTATTGAAATTTGTGAATGATTTGCTTGAATATGGCTATACATTTGTTCTTGTTTCCAGTTTATTATGTGATCCTTTAAAGTTAGGTTTTAGTAAGTATAATTAAATGACCAGTGGTAGACTTTTTGCGAGTCTTTAAGAAATATAAAATAGTGAAAAGATTTTTGCAGAAGTCTGCTCTATAATATTCTCTGGGAACAAAATATTTATCATACATTTGATAATCTTTTAGAATTATTATGCAAGAGATTGCTTAGTTGCCTGCATAAATACTAGTGTCAGGTTTCTGAAGATAGCGTAGATACATATACTATATATAGCAAGTTACATTAGTAAAAAAAAAAAAAAAAATTATTTTTAACTATAATAAATACAAAATTACAAGCCTTTAATTTTATTTAAAATGGAGAGCTTTAGGCAATCTTGGCAACATGTAAATTTATTTATTTAGGATGTTAATATATAGTTATCTGAAAAATGATTTCAATACTTTTTGTTATTGGAATATACTGAACCAGGCAATCAGTTAGCAAACCACAAAATCCACCACAAAATAACATAAGTGCTAAAAGAAAGTTAAACTTTTTTATTATTAAACCATTATTTAACCATTTTAGTAAAATAAAAATAAAACATTTATAGTGCAAACATGGCTCTTAAAAATAACAAGATTTCAAGATTTTCTAGGTAAACCATAAAAAATTGGCCTTCTAATTTTTTACGCAATAATTCATGATAGAGTTACCACTATTTAACTGATGCTAAAAAAAAGGGATTTTAAGGAGATTCTAATTTTAAGGAGATCTGGTTTTGCAACTAAATCTCCTGAAACTTATCCTTTTTAGCCCGGAAACCAATTTTATCAAACAACACATGAAGTTGAAATAATAAAATCTTAGTTATTTTAATTTCATTTGCTATGACCCCATAAGATGTGAAGTAGTTTTGTATAGAACGTAAAAAGATGGTATTAGTGGATTTTATTGAATAAGAATTCAGCAGCTGAATTCTTGTTGAAGCTTGTCAGTGCGATAAAATTAGGTCAATTTTTAAAACGTACAACAGATTTTCAAACATCTTTAGGTCAGTGTATTACCATAAAATTTGTCAATCTTTATCAAAAGTCTGAAATATATATTTTTTCATCAACGACGCAGCTTTACTGAACCTAGTAAGTTCTTTTTTAGCTAAATCAATGACGAAAACTCTTTTAATTTTAATCAGAATTTTCTCGTACATCACAAGCATCATCAACAGTTTGTTGAAGCAATATTCACACTTTTCTGGGAATTCGATTGTAGATATATGGTAGATAAACTCTAGACAACAAGCAACCAGTGAAAACATAAAGCTCACAATTATATTAATACATTTTGTGACAAGGAAATCAAATATTTTCCTCACGAACCTGACTATTAGACTTTTAAGGAACAATCCGGTTTGTGCTATTAGTTAAATATTAAAGGCATCTGTTCAAAATAAACTAAACGTTTAATGCAAAGTTTAAGTAATTTTTCATTCTGTATTTTTTTATTTATTTCATAATGCTATCAAAAAAATTAACTAATATTAAATGCTTCCTAATTGGTATGTCATAAAAGGTTTTTTTTTGTCCTTCGTTATTTAACTTTTTAAAATGTACAAACAATTTAGTTATAAAAAAAACCAGTAAAACAGTTTGGTTATGAATTTGCATGCATACAAACATATACATAACTACACACATAAATACAAAAATACATAAACACACGTATAACATACATATATATGTGTATATGCTATTCTAAGAAAAAATTTGGGCTGCGGTAGCCCCCTACCCCCGTTCTTGAGAAATTTTAGCAGAAATATTGCCGAATATCGGCGTTTTTTCGCAAAAAAAACAACAATACTAGCCGTAGAAAACGTAAAAAAAAATAAAATAATTCCTCAATTTTAAATTTGGGCGGCGATCAAATACGTTTGACGCTGTCGAAAACGGTCTAGAATAGCCCCTGCATACATAAATACATACATACATAAATACATACATACATAGATACATATATACATACACACATACATACATATCTTAACAAGTCGGACTTTTTGAAAATGTCCGACTTGTTGAGATTTCGAGACTTATCGAATGTTCCTCGATATATAAATGTTAAGTACATATAGAACATCTGTAAGTTATGACCATCCAGACAATGTTTGCTTTGGAATGTCATGTTTCTTTGATATAAATACAGATGATTCTCCTTTGTCAAGTTCTTTTAGTATTTTTTATTTTTCTGTTAAAGTTCTACTTGATAGCTTTCTTTTAGCAACCTTAGACATAGTAAATAAACTTGATCGAAGTATAACCGAATTGAAGATATCAGTGAAAATATTTAGTTCGTTAATTTGTGTTTGACGCAAAAGTAATTAATTTTTGAACGCTCTAAGTTTTGATTTTTATTTATATTTTAATTTTTTTGTAATATTTACTAACAAATAAAATTTAATCTAAGCTTAACTGATTTGAAAGAACTCTGTGTAAATGTTTAGTCATGTTTAATTATATTTGACACAAAAGTATTTTATTTTCGAGCGTTGAAGGTTTGGAATTTTTATTGAAGTATTAGAAGTTTTGTTATTATATGCAATTCAAAATAAAAATCAAAGCGAAGTTTTTTGTCGAAGGGACCTTAAAAAACAGTACGAGTTAGCTAATGGTCCGACTTAACCAGGGTACGACTTAAGTGGATGATTTAACAGTAAGTTGATAAAGAATGTTCAATGTGAATTGAAATTCCGTCCAACTTAGTAAAATTCCGACTTATTCAGGGTCTGAGTTATTGAGATTCAACTGTAATCAAAGTCATAAAAATTATTCTTGCTGTAAGGGATCGTCCATAAAGTACGTATGCTCGGAGAGGAAGAGGAGGTCTGAAAATGGCATTTTTATGAGACAAGGGGGAGTAGGTCAATTACAAAAGTATGGTGACACTAAATTTAAAAAAATATTATAAAATATTGGGTTAGTAGGTTAAAAACGTAGGTACTTTTAGGGAGGTAGAGAGTACTCAAAAAAGCGTACAGGAAATTGAGGGGGGGGGGGGTTAGCGATAAAAAAACGTACGTACTTTATGGACCACCCCTAACTTTGGTGAAAGTAAAGTGAAAGTGAAAGTAAAGTATATTGAAAGCGTAAGTTTTATGAAAAAAGTTATTTTTAGAGTTATGAAAATGCTAAGTGTAAATGAAATCAAAATATTAAACTAAATTTTGACATTTAGATTATAAGATATCCAATAAATATGTCCAACTCATCTTGACAAATGTCATTTATCCAAGATGAAATAAAATAAATCAACAATTAAAGACTAAATTAATAATAATAATTATTTTTATCGTTATTATTGCTATTATTATTATTGCTATTATTATTATTAATGAGATTATTAAAAGGTGGGCGTACAGAAATAAATTAGCGTCAACATATTACTCAAGCAATTACTATAGTATCAGGGTTATTATAAATAAATGAAATATAATGCAAATTTTAGTTATAGAAAGTAGTCGTGATGAAGAAAGACTTTTAGATGATTTGTTTAAAACATATAATCCTGCTGCACGTCCAGTCTTGGATGATTCAGAATCAGTTAATGTGACATTTGGGTTAACATTACGACAAATAATTGATGTGGTGAGTTAAATTTTTTTTCTTAACTATATCATACATTTTATTGCTTTTATTTTTGCTTGTTAGTTTCTTTTTATACTTCAAATATAGTTTATATTTGAAATATAAAAAAACTAATAAGCTAGAAGTAGAGATTATTAAATACTGTCCCATACTGTTATAGGGCAGTATTAAATTTTTCACTAATTTGTCTGCATATTTGTTGCTAGATAAAAAAGTGTGTAATACATTATTTATCCAATAGATTTAATTTTTCAACGATCATAAACATTTTATTTTAAATATTATATAATGGCTTTTATTTGAAATAAAAGTTAAGATGATATTTTTTTGAAAAAAAAGATTTCTAAATAAAATGAAATAATTTTTTATTTGTTTATTTTTCATTTATATTTCTTGCCTTTTTTTAGCATGAGAAAATTCAAATACTTGTTATCAGTGCATGGATTAGACAGGTTTTATTATTTTTTTAATTCATATCACATAAAATTCACATATATTTGAACTGATATATATTGAAATATAGTTGAGTATATGTTTTTTACAGTTAATCTCAAGCATCACTGGTTAGTCGGCCAATATGTTTGCAATTTTTTTGCCAATCAACATTTTTAGTTAGGCATATGTTGTTGTCTCATTGATACATATTTAGTTGTTTACATTACAACAATTACAAGTAAATCTACCATGATCAAACAAATTAGTTTAAAAAAATATGTTTATGAATAAAATAATAAAATGCACATTAGGCTGTCCCAAATCATCAGGTAAAATTATTTTTGTTGAAAATATTTTCTCACCCTCGTAAAAGTTTCTTTATAGTCCCATGATATCACCTAAAAATTTTTATTAAATTTAAATAATATTTGGTGGTTCAGCAAGGTCCTTGAAATTTTTACTGTTGGTGTAAATAAAAGTCCAATGCATTGATTTATGTGAAAGGTTTATAAAGAAAAGCTTTTGTTGAGATTTCTAGCAAAAATTGTTTTAAGAATAAATTATCAAACGAACAATTTTTTTAATTCTATGGCTTAATCTCAGAGCCACATCAATAATATACTAATCTTAATTATAGTATGTAAATATTTTTTTAATATAACTTTAATTATTTTATTTTTTTACAGAAAGAACAGTAAAGATGCCAATTAGTGGAGTGACACGAAGCAAGGACGGTATTTGGTTGATAGGGCATCCTATCAACCAAATACTGTCCTATAGACTGTTTTTGAAATTGCAACATGAATCTAGATCTGGTTGTATTGGACCAGTTGAAAGAAAGCTCTTGGGCCAAGAAAAGCGCTCTGCAAAATGTCAGTTTGCCAAGCAAGTTGCATCAATGGCAATAGCAGTCACATCAAGTTAGGAGATGGATTGTGCAGGATTGGTACTGCTAAGAAAATAAAGTGTTAAGATGTTCTATCACTAAAGGTGGCTGCAGTTCTTGATAGGACAAACCTCAGCCTTTGAATATCAACCATGGTTCTAGCTTCCATGGTGAATTAAGTCAGATGTTCAACATCATCTGCAGTTCTGTCAAAGAGCATAGTTTATCAGAAGTTTCAACATTTACATCGTAAGGCTTCTCAATAAATTAAGAATGACTTCATTCCTTGCAAATTAGTAGTACACTGGGATGTGAAGTTGATGTCTGATTTAACTGGTGATGACATTAATCAGGTGGATCGCTTACCTATTTTGATCTCATCCTTTGTTGATGTCAGTATCAAGTTCCTAAGAGCCAAAATTGACCTCTGGTTCTGGTCAGACTGCAGCAGATGCAGTTTATGAATTGTTGGTGTTGTGGAAATGTGAAAATTTTATTATCGGTAAACACAAAGGAGTAAAAATGTGAAAATTTTATTATCGGTAAACACAAAATCTGTTATGGTTGGTATGCAGACACCACATGCTTGAACTCCTACTCTCAGATTCATTTGGTGTGTGTTTTGGACCATCAACATGGCCTAATATATACTCATCTTCAAGAGAATATGTGATAAGTGGTCTGCAATTCATCACATTCCAATAAATTGTCAAACTCCTTTGATTAATGATCATGATTTCCTAAAGACCTTTATTGAAAGACAGTTAAATCTTGAAAGTCATCCAAGACATGACTATTTTGAGTTTCTTTGCCTTACTGGTGTAATGCTCGGGATGCAGACCAACACCACAATACGGAAGCCTGGGGCACTGGACAAAGAACGTTGGATGGCAAAGGCCATCTACTCTTTTAAGATGGAACTTCTGTTTGACAATGTTTGTTTGGAACTTCTGTTTGACATTTTTGTTGCATTGCAACAAAAATGTTCCCAAGCTAACGACACAAGATTTCTCCATGTATATCTCCAGTCATGGTTCACCAGCAGAATTGCTATTGATGTCTCAATCAATTACATTTTGCTTATACAAAGACTGAATGAATATGATGATGTGGCTTTGCAGACAATTGGACTGAAGATGATGAAGCCTCAATCCTGGTATCTAGACCAGGAGATTGCAACACTTGTTCTCTTTTTAGAACATCTGTCTCTAGAAAGCACACCATGTTCTGATAATGAAAACAGTTTGTAGTGAGTGTTTACTCACATCATTGCCAAACAGCTTATCAGAAATATCAATATTTTGCAGCTTTTTTCAAACTGCTGGTGTTGACGACAGTTTCCTTGAAGTGGATATAGAAACCTGGTAGAATGCTGCATCATTCAAGATTGCAAAATCAGTTGTTAAGAAGTTAGTGTGCCAATGATTGCGCAGAGCGCGGAGTAGCACTTATCTAAACATTCAATGAATCAGTTACCAAGAATGAGTAACAAAAACAGTATCTGTTGCAAGTTGTTGAAAAACACAGAAATGACTTTAAACACAATATATATGATACTAAACACACCAAGATAAGTTAAATAGCAACTTCATAAACCTTTGATGAAAATTAACGCATTGCGCTCTATATACGCTAACAGTTAATAATTTTCAGGACCTCGTTGGACCTCTAAATATTAGCCAAATTTTATAAAATTTTGCAGGTGATATCATGTGACCATAACAAAACTTTTAGGAGGGTGAGGCCTAACATTTCCCAATAAAAATTTTTGGTACACTTTGATGCACAACTTTTTTTTTTTTTGCTGCATTATTCTACCATATATACAAATTAGACTATTCCATGACTACCATACATACAAATTAGACTATTCCATGAATTTATGGCTCTCATGTTGAAAAAAAAAAAAAATAAAGCTATATTTTTATATAAAAAAAGTTCATAATTGTTGAATGAATCTTCTTAAAGAAATCTACACAAATGAGGACCAGATGGAACAGTTTTCTTTTTATGGCCTCATTATAACACATTAATGTTTTTTTGATTAGTAAACCTTGTGGAGTATTGCAGGCAATAAAAACCTATATTTTTTCTTACAAAATTTTTAGTTTCCTTACAAGCCCAATCATACTTTATTTGCTATATTGTTTATTTTTATTTATTTTAATCATTTGTTTTTACTATTCATTATTTAGAAATGGAGAAATCCAATCTTGACATGGGATCCAACAAAATATAACAACATAAAAGAAATAAATGTAGATCCTTCAAGTATATGGCGGCCTGATATTGTATTATATAATAAGTATGTGTTGATTATAAATTTTTATTTTATTATTATTTTTTTTTTATATGAAAATATTTTTTACATTCATTATATATGACAATATTTTTTAAAATCTTATTATGATATTCATCACATAAGTGTATGATATTTGAAATATTTAAAATAGATATTGTATTTATCATTTAAATATTACATATTTACAGTGTTATGATTTTATCATAGCTTTTTCTTAAACTGATTTATGAAATTTCAAGTTAAGGATTAAATGTCCCAGGTATTCAATCATATTTTTAATTGTGGGTTTGCATAGAGATGTAAGTTGTTTTTTTGGCCAAAAAAACAACTTACATCTCTATGCAAATTTTTTAATTTTTATGCGTTTTTGCCTTAAAAACTACTCTTTTTGCATTTTAAAAACTGAAATGGTTTCAAAATTTATTTTTGGTGATATTTATTAAATACTTGTTTTAATACTTACATTTACCATATTTTTAGTATTGTCTTAGTTTAGCAATTGTTCAATTATTCAAAAAAAAAAAAAAAAAATTTGAAAAAGCATTAATTAGAAAAACAATTTTTTTTCTTTTAATAATTTTTAGTAATAATTCTTATAAGTAAAGACAAAGAAGTAAATTTTTATAAGTAAAAGCCATGAGTTGCATCTTTTTTAATATTGAACTGTTTTAAGAACTTATTATATGAATGAAGTAACACTGCATCACAAAATAAGTCAGATCTGGGAATTTTTGGTGTGGGTGTGAGGGGGAATTGGGGCTTGTTAAAAATTTAGTTTATTTTGTATCACATTTTTGCCTACTAAAAAAAAATTAAAAAATTAAAAGATATTTTATAAATTTATGGATTCTAGTGTGGGGTGGTAGGTTCATACCTCTCATTTCCCCTGGATCTGTCACTGGTTTTAAAATTACAAAATTATATTTCAACTTTTTTAACTTCTTCAACTTATGTTCATTAAATTTTTCATTAATCCATAATTTTTTTTTGAATAATAATAAATGTATTGTTTAATGGAATGAATCAGAATTATCTAAATAAATATTTTTATTATATGAAAGAAATATATTTATTATATGAAACACTGCTTTGCAAAATAAAAAAAGGTAATCATTTTCATGTTTAATATAAGGAAAATGAATAATTTTTTTGAGGTAAAAATCTTGAAATTTTTTTAAAAAATAAATAACTGTTTAGCCATTTTCCTAATCAAAAAGATAAATATTTTTATACCACTTTAGCTAAACACTCTGTTTACACAAAATAAGTAAACAAATATACCATAAGAGTTTTAAAAAAATCCAAAAAAACCTGCACCCAAACCAAAAAAACGCCAAAAAAACCCAAAAAAACACGTTATTTTGGGTGAAAAAAACGCGACAGCAAAAAAAGGCGTTTTTTTGCAACACTAGGTTTGCAGAATTGTAGAAAAATAATTATCCTGAGAATAATCCCAAAATTATTAGAAAATAATTAAATATAAAGTGTTCAAAAGTCCTTTCAGTTAAAAAATATTATACATGTAAAATTAGTTTATTTAAAAAAAAAAAATTATGACTTAACTGACTTTTGAACATTGTAAAAATTAAAAGCATGTTTAGCACAATGATGGTATTCTGTATTCCTGAGGTTCATATCTGTTAAGGTGAATTAATTACTAAAATTTGATTTTTCTTTTGTCAGCATCACTGTTTCCATTATGATCATTATATTGTAACACCATCAGATGAAAGTTCTACAAAACAACACATCCAAAATTTTTTCTTTTAAAACAAGATCAAGTTTATAATCATACTATCAAAATATACTTATAATCATCAATTACTTAATTCTTGGTTGCATCCAATGACATGAGTGTTTGTCACTTATGTTACTGGATTGATTTTTAATTTTATTTAAAATTTAATTTGTTTAAATGATGAACCAAAATCTCTTTTGACTTAAACTTTACTTCAACTATGTTGCAAAAAATTTAAAGTTGTTGCAAAATATTTTTAAATTTAGGTAACACTCTTTTTAATAAAATCTGTTTGAATTAAAAAAAAAAAAAAATTCAAGAAAATTTTATTAATTTAAGCAAACTAATTAAGACGTTTTTCATTCAAATTTTAAAAGTTAAATTTTTCAAAACTTAAGGCCTGTGAAATTTCACCTAGGTACTATGAATTGTTGCTAAACCATGTATTGTTATACCTAAAGAGATTTTCATATCCTCTAATGTATTGTAACCCACTAAAAGTTTTATTTAAGAATTACTGAAAGCACAAGTAGTGGTCATTCCATTTTAATTTTTATCATTCATTGTATTATGTTATACTATTATTTTGAAATTAAAAAGTTACAACTTACATTTATTAAAAAAGACATTTTTCATTTTTTAGTGCAGATGAAGATAAGACCTTTGGAGGTAATTTAGAAAGACTAAAAACAAGAGCTATATTAAATTATAATGGTGACACTGCTTGGTTAGCTCCTGTCATTTTGAAGAGCAAATGTGATATTGATGTTAAGTATTTTCCTTTTGATACACAAAAGTGTCCTCTAAAATTTGGCAGTTGGACATATGACCAAGGAAGATTAAATTTAATTAACGAAAGCAATACAGCAACTTTAGGTAGTTATTTTTATTTTTGTATAGACCAAGGGGGCCACTAAAGTTAAAGAGGCTGCTTTTTATCCTTTTTAACTTCTCAATTTTTTAAACCTTGACAAACAAGGTTGGCATAATTTGAATAACATTATATTGTATTCTGCAAGTATTTATTTTAATGATGATTCAAATGATAATATAAATTTTTTATATCATTGAAATTTAGATTGTAATACTTTATATTTTTATAAGTTTTAAACTAATTTTATTAAAATTTTCAAAAAATAAAATAATAAAACTAAAGCTGTTAGCAAAGTAAATAGTTCTAGTAGAATAGAATTACCAAGATAATTATTTGATACCACGAACAGATGACTATCTAGTGACACAAATTTTATATAAACATTATTAGGATCTAAAACTCAACTAAAAATATAAAATTGTAAATATGAGAATAAAGCATTTGTCCAAAGGAGTTTAAAGGAGCTATTATCTCTAGCTCTATCAGCCAAAACTCATTATTACTTTACCATTCATTCAGTAGTCTCATCCTTTTACTGTAATCTCATCCTTTTACTGTATCTTTCCCTGCATGCTCTAAAAATTTTAGTCTAGTTTTTTTTTGCACTTCAACCCTTTGGAAATCTCTCCCATCTTAATGTTTTTCTGACTCATCTACAACTTTTGTCAATCTACTTCTGTCAACTGTTTCTGTCAATTTTTTTTTTTTTTTAGTAGTTCTTAACTTTATAGTGGTTGCTTGCAGATTGGATTATGGTATTCTTATTAAAAGGTTGTTTTTTTAAAATAAATAGATAAAGAAAATAGAAATCCTTTCAATTTTTGTTGTTGTTGTTAAAATTCTTTCTAGGCAGTTTAAAATTTTCTGTTAGACATCAAAGCATTTCTAACATAAAATATTCATTTATATTTACAAAATTATACATTCATTTCAAATGTTCTAATTTTTTATGTATTGTTTTAATTAGGATTTTAGCGCAAGTTTTTTTTTCTTCATAAATTTTAATTTAAAAAGCAATTAGTTTCTCTGTGCAGTGGCTTATTGAGAGAAAGGGTTATAACAATTTTTTAAAAAAAATGATCAGCCTTCTTGACTGTGATGGCCCCTGCGACTTTAGAGGAGGAGTAAATACAATAATAAAAGATTTAGAAAGTTAAATTTTTGATATAATAAAAATATCTTGTCTTTATTAAAATGTTTTGTTTGAAATATATTTTCTTGCAAAAATAATTGCAGAAATCAGAAGCTGAAAATAAAGATAAAGTTTCAGGTTTTTTTTTTTTTTTGAAAGAAAAATATTCAAACAACTCTGAGTGGTATCTGCTAAGCGCAAAAGCAGTTCGAAATGAAGAAAAGTATTTCTGTTGTCCTGAACTCTACCCTGATGTCACATTTACGATTATTATAGCTCGGCGATCTTTGTTTTACTTGTGTAATTTAATATTCCCCATGACAATAATTGGAATGTTAACTATGTTATCATTTTTATTGCCTGCCGAATCAGGTAATCAAATTATTATAAATGTATTTATATTAATTATTTTAAATGTATATATATTACATATTTTTTTACTTTATTTATTTGAACTTTAAACCTTAATCTATTTAAGATAAAAGAATTAGATAATTATATAATTACCTGTATATAAATTTACTAGTAATTTATAAGCAAAATGTGGTTCATTTTAACTAATGGTTTGAAGAAAGTTCATAAGCATTAGAGAAAATTATAGGTGTGTAAAAGAAAAATTAATTATGCAAAAAAGAAAATTTAAACAGAATGATAGATTAAAAAGTTTAGCTTTACTGCTTTTTGTAAGCAAACATTTAACCATTTAATTCTAAAAACGTTTGAAGAAATCTCTATATGAGTTTTGAGGGTTGATATAATATTCTTTTTTAGCTGACAGTTTTAACAATAATTGGTTGGCTAGATGGTTGTTTATCAATAGTTGCATGTAACATATAAATCTTCGACCAACAAGGTCAAAATAGTAACAATACAAAATAATAACAAAATTATAAAATGAAGGGTTATTAAAGATAAAAGTTGAAAAAAATTAAAAGACTACATCATGATCCATAAAGTTACAAAAAAAAAAAAGTTCAAATAGTTTATTTTGTAAAAGAAAAAATATGAATTTTTTTTTCTAGACTTTTAATTTACTACATCATTATTATTATTTTTTTGGTTAAATTTAAGTTTACTTTCTATCATTAAAGTAGTTTAAAATGTAAGTAGCTTGACTTGAGAGAATTAGACACTGTGCTATTTTACATTGTAAGCGCACTTTCTATAATAAAAAGTGATTTTTAAATTAGCTTGCTTGAGAGATAAAACACCATATTTTAAAGTTAGTGCATCAGAAAAATAGAATCAGACGGTTATATTGAAATAATTATAAGAGTTCTCAAAGAATTATTTTTTAAATAACATTATAAAATTATTATATATTAATTAAACCTAAACATTTGTATATATGTGTGTGCGTATTGTGTGTTATTTACACTAAATGACTTTCAGAAAAAGTTAGATGTGAAATATTTTATCATGCTTCACACCTAATTTGCAAAGTATCTATTTTGTAAAATAAAATCTATAACAAATGTTGAGCAAGTGTTTTAGTATGTTATATATAGTAATTTAATATTCAGTGAAAATAAATCATTGTGTGACATTCACACAGAAATTTATATCAATTTTAAACTTATTTTATAATAAATTGATTTGTACACTTTAGTGATTGGTGGATTTTTTATATGGTTTAGTGAACTGTATAAATAAAACAAATGTTTAGGCGAGAGAGTTTCACTTGCTATTACCCTTCTTCTTGCAATGACTGTGTTCATGTTAGTTGTAGCTGATATTATACCCGCTACAAGTGATGTTATTCCATTAGTTGGCATTTATTTTAGGTAGTATTTATTTTTATTATTTTTATTATTTGAAAGTATTTATTTTTATCTTGTAAATAATTTTTTTTTATCTTGTAGTGTTTCAATGATTGAAATGGTTATAATGATCATTGTACTTTGTTACATCATGAGGCTACACAACAAGGGTCCAGGAGATCCGCCAATGCCTATTTGGATGAGAAGGTAATTTTATGTTTTAGCTTAGTTGTAATTTTTAACTTTAAATCTTAGATAGATATTTATGAATAAGTTACATAAGAGTTTGTTATTAAATATTAGAACCATGATTAAGTTAATATTGCAAAATACCATTACACAAAAGACAAAGTGATTATTTAAGTAATGTTTATGAAATAATTTTTACTCTATTAAAAATCTTTTCTTAATTATAATCTATAAACAGTTGTTAAGAAAAAGTTAAGAATTAAATTTGCCAAATTATTTATTAAAATTAATAAATAATTCTTCAAGTTTTATTTTTTGTATTAGTCAGATTTATATATAAATATGTATACATACATACATACATACATACATACATACATACATACATACATACATACATACATACATACATATATATATATATATATATATATATATATTTATATATATATTTATATATATATATATATATATATATATATATATATATATATATATATATATATATATATATATATATATATATATATGTATATATATATATATATATATATATATTTATATATATATGTATATATTTATATATATATATATATATATATATATATATATATATATATATATATATATATATATATATATATATATATATATATATATATATATATGTATATATATATATATATATGTATATATATATGTATATATATCTATACATATATATATACACATATATATATATATATATATATATATATACATATATATATATATATATATATATATATATATATATATATATATATATATATATATATATATATATATATATATATATATATATATATATATATATATATATATATGTAGTGATGCTATTTTGTGCATATACTATCAAGAAAGTGCTCGATGAATTAATTCAGAGCTATAATATATATATAGTAGAAAATAAAACTACGTGATTTTCACAAATTTAAGTTTCATGCTGTTGCAATCATCAGGTGAAATACAAATATAGTTTGTTCGTTTAAAAAATTCTATACAATTGAAACTATAAAGAAAAAACCTATACGGAAAAAAACTTTTTTTATTGTTACGACCGTGTGTATCTAATCTTCAGGTTTCTGGTTGCTTAATAGAAATTTATTTTTGTGACGACACTTGGAAATTAACTCTGTTTTTTTTATTGAGTAGCTTTTAAGCATTTTTATAAAGTAAAATAATCACTTTTTCATATAAACATAGTAAACATTTTTTTGTCGTATTGTTGTAGGCGGGGGCTTTTTTTAGGATAGACCAAGTTAATTCTGGTGTTTCTTTCAGTTTTTCTCTAGTTTCCCATATATGTTTTGAGAGAGTGGTTGCATTTGAAAGTTTCTTATTTGAAAATAACTGCTTGTGGTTTGCATACCTCTTTTTAGGCTTTGTATTTCATCTGATGATTGCAACAGCATCAAACTTAAAATTGTGAAAATGACATAGTTTTATTTTCTACTTTAAATATATATATATATATATATATATATATATATATATATATATATATATATATATATATATATATATATATATATATATATATACACTACCGACAAAAAGTTTGAGGCAGGGTAAAAATTTATGATTTCGAGATGTAAATACCCTTAAATTGTTTATTTTTTCGACTTCAATGAGTGTATTTATGTTTTAATTTATGATTCTAATATATCACTAGTAGATTAGAACTGTTTATAATATTTTAATCAACAAGGGATAGCTGATACATCATAATCTACATTTCTTATTTGTTTAAAAAACAAACATGGGTACTTGTTGGTGCAAGTAGAAGATCGCAGATAGCTTAGATTAGTGTTTCTTTGATTGAATGTCATTGTGAGTGGTCTTTTGTTCCCTTGTAATTAAAAACATATTGAAAGTTTATATTTTATTAACAAAATTTTGAATTTTTTTGTTTTGGAACTAAAAGTCCAAATAATGGCTAGAAGAAAAGAATTAACCATTGCAGAAAGAGAAAGAATACTTGTTTACCACGAAGAGGGCTATTCACAAGTTCAGATAGCAAAAAAAATGAAAATTTCAAGATGTTGTGTGCAAAGGACACTACAACGATACCATGAAAGTGGTGTCCATACAAGCAAAAACCGCTCTGGACGACCTAAAAAGACTAACAAACTACAAGATAGGGAAATAAAAAACATTTCCTTATCAAATAGAAGGTATACTGCCGAAAAAATCCGATCAGTTTACAATAATTTCAACGAAATTAAAATTAGCACTTCGACTGTCAAAAATCGGCTGAAGCAAGTTGGCTTACATGGACGTGTAGCTGCTCGTAAACCCTTATTAAGGCCAGTTAACAAAATAAAAAGATTAAATTGGGCTAAAAGGCATGAAAACTGGTCAATGGAACAATGGAAAAACGTGCTTTGGACAGACGAGTCCAAATTCGAACTTTTTGGTTCAAAACGACGCGTTTTCGTCCGAAGATATGCTGGAGAAAGGTATTCTGAAGAATGTTTAGTGCCGACTGTCAAACATGGAGGTGGCTCTGTCATGGTTTGGGGATGTTTTGGTGGAGAAAATGTTGGATTGATCCACAGAATTGAAGGAATAATGACGAAAGAAATTTATAGAGAAATTTTGGAACAACAAGTACTGCCGTCTGGTGAGAGATTATTTCCGGATCAATATGTTTTTATGCATGATAATGATCCAAAGCATACTAGCAAAATTTGTAAGTCGTATTTAGAAGACCTCCAAACACAAGAAGTACTAAAAATCATGGATTGGCCACCACAATCGCCGGATCTCAATCCAATCGAGTTGTTATGGGAAGAACTTGACAGAAAAGTGCGAGAAACGCAACCATCTTCTCGAGAAAGCCTTTGGAACATGTTGGAAGAACAATGGAATGCAATACAACCCGAAATACTACGTAAATTGATCAATAGAATGCCAAAGATTTGTGCCGCTGTAATAAAGAATAAAGGAGGATATTTTGACGAATCAAAAATTTAATTAAAATAACAATTATAATTAAGAATTTATAATAAAAAAATGTTTAATGTTTATTAGTTTTTGTATTCATTATCATTAAAGTACAAATCATATTAGAAAAAGTTTATTTATTTAGCAATTTTAAAAAATTTAGTACCTGCCTCAAACTTTTTGTCGGTAGTGTATATATATATATATATATATATATATATATATATATATATATATATATATATATATATATATATATATATATATATATATATATATATATATATATATATATACATATATATATATATATATATATATATATATATATATATATATATATATATATATATATATATATATATATATATATATATATGTATATACATACATACAATTTTTCAAATATTTTTAAAATACTTTAATATTCTAAAACTTAAAATTTTAAAATACTTAAATAATAATTTTAAACTTTTTTACATAGATATTCGTATTTTTGTTCAACTAGTTTTATAATATAAATTTTATCATTAAATAAATTTAAAAGTTAATAAACTTTTAAATTTTAAATATCTAGGTATTTAAATTAAAAAAATAATTAAATGCAAAAATTAATTTATAAATATTGGTTAATAATAATATTATGTTTTTATAATAATATTAATAATATTATAATAATTTATAATAATATTATTAATATTATATTTAATAATAATATTATATTTTTTAATTATCTTCTTTTATATTTTACGCAAATATAAAATGAATGATACATATCATTGCAAGTTTTATTTTTTATTTTTTTGTTGTTTTTTTTGTTTCACTTTACTATCTAATTTATTTTACCAAAAGTATTATTAATTTTTTTAATAAAAAAATGTTATTAACTTATTTTATCGTATAATATTATTAATATGCAAAGATTATTGTAACATTCCTAAGCTAATATAAACGGTAAAAATTTAAAGTTTGAAATGTAGTTTTTAAATAATAAGAATAAAATAAAAAAATAATCTAATAAACGTATTGAAATTATTTGAATAAATAATTTAAAATTATTTATTCAAATAATTTCAATTTATTTATTCGGAATTATTTGAAACGGTAAAGAGAAATCAGTTAATATTAGAACAGGAAAAATAACGGTAACAGGAAAAATTTTATTGTCAAAAAATTAGACGAGAGGAGACTCATTAAATGGAGATGAGTTCTGCAAAATACCAAGCAGAAAAGAAATTTGTTCTCTAAATTTCTTTGAAGTTTTTAAAATTTTCATTTAAGTTTATCTTAATTCAATTTTTGTAAACTTTATTTTATGAAAAAATCAACGCTTTATTTTGCTTTTTATGCTTGTATCGGGAAATATACTAACATAACAAGAAGTTAGGATTTATGAAATTTTATATTTACTTTATAGCACTAAATTGGATCCGATCAGCATCATAAGCTGTTGCACCTTTTATTGGATGATCTAAATCATGTCACTATTTTAATATGACAATTACGTAAATGTCGTGTTAAAAAGTGTTTAATAAAAGCTTAATGTAAAATAAAATATCCTATTGAGAAATTAAAAATAATTTGTTAACTTTTGGTCGTTAAAATTTTAAAAGTGTTTTTAAGAAATATACTGGCCCACCAAGAAATTACGGTTTACTTTATTAATTTTTGTGGGTTTTTTTTTTATTATTATTAATAACTTTTGCCTGATTGAAGTTCTGCTAGATGTAAATTAACTTGTCAACTAACTCAAGTTGAAGCTTTGTTTGTTTAATTGTAACGATTTGCCCGCTTGCTGAGAAGACTCTTTCAGAGGTTGTAGAAGAAATGGGTATGCACAACCAACGTAAAGGAAATATATTCTTCTTATTACACCATTCTAATGCATTACATCATTTGTTTGGGCGATACTGAGACAAAGTTTTTCACTTTGTCTCAGTATCGCTCTTACGCTCTAAATTTAATGGAAGTTTTTCATTAAATTTGGTACAGCAAAAGAATTAGAGGTTTTTTTAATAAAGTCGCGTTTTGTCTTAAAATAAAGTAAGATTAGATTTTTTATTTATCCTTATAACAAAATGGCAACGGTAATCTAAAAAGTACACAAATGTCTTTCGAGACAATAAATTGCAGTGTTTTGTTTCTTCAATCTTGCTAAAATTAACTCTTTAGTCAATTTTAGCGAGATTGAAGAAACTAATTTCTTTAATTTTTGAATGAGTGATCTTGCTTGTTAATGACAGTGCTATTTCCGTTCTCACAACTTTACTCCTTTGTGACATATCAGGAGTTGTGTTGGGCATTACAGAAAAAAAATTGAAGCTATTAGTTTTATCAATAATCTGACTCTTCAACTCAGTTCCAATTTAACTAATTATTTTATTTTGAGATGATGGACTTGTGTATGTAATTCTATATAGACAAAGGGATCTATCTTTAATCCAGGCTTTTAGTGTGGGATTGTGGTGAGAGATGAGATTATCTACTGCAACAAAGTTAGCTGTGTGAGGATTGTCAGATTCCCTAAATGCCAGCCCTTGGGTTTTTTTAAAGTCTATTCTGCACCTCCTTCTATGAGACCAAGTCTCTTGGATTTATTAATAAAGTGATGTATATGTCCCTTTTTCATAAGAAAGTAACAATATTCCCTTAATGTAACTTTATGTGTTTGAGAGGTAAAGTGCGCCTAAAGTTTCCCAAAGTTGTCTTTCCCATAGCTTTTCATCTTGGACCAAGATCCTTACCCCAACATTTATTCAAGCATCTTCAGTTTTTCCCTTCTTTCCAACACCCTTGGAGAAAAGGCAGTAGATAACAAATTTTGGCATACTTTTGAGCACTGTATTCTAAATGTTCTAACTCTTTGTACCACTTGAGAATAAATTCGATTTTTGATTGTCCATAATTGTATGCGGATGTAAATGGCTTATCAATACTGGTGAATCTGATTTGTCAATTATAATATTTTGAGCTTTGATATCTTATAAATATTTATAATATTTTGAGCTTTGATATCTTTGAGTTTTCTTATAAAAGCGTTTCCCATTTCCAAAACATTTTTTGTTATTTCTACCACAGAACTTGTTGCATTCAAAATTTCAATTGCAGGAAATTTTTCTTTTACTAATTCTTTTTTAAAATACTTTTCATAAATGTCATTACAATCTTTAAGATTATCACTTTGACATCGTTATCAGCATTCTGATGTTCGATTTTTCGTTTTTTGAAGCTAAGGAGGCTACAAAAAGATTCTCAGGGGCTCCCACTGTTTTTATATGAACCTTTTTACCACCATGAACACATCTTTAATGATTTTTATAGCTGTTATTATAGCGTTTTATAGCCGTTATTAAAAAATGCTTTGCAAATGTAATATTGTAATTTATATCTCTTGCTTTTCATAGTTATGGAAAACAAACGCAGATACTATAACTTACCATAATTTTGAAATGAGTTAATTTTTATAAAAGTTATCACTCTTATGTAGGGTTGACAGATGTCCGGCAATAATGGAGGAGAGCACAGTAAAAAAAATTATTTTTACATAATTTAAGTTATCAAATTAGAATGTTTGGGACAGTATTAAAATTGTGTTGCTACAAAATTAAGAAACTTGAAGAAAAAAGAAAAAGGTTTAGGTGGGCGTGGTTGTCTTATTGATCGTATGCAAAAAAATTTTGTGTTGCTGTAAGGAAAAAAAATGCTGGAAAAATTTTTTATGTTGCATCTTAAAAAACCAATTACTTGTATTTTCCTCACTTTCCTGCTGACGGTAATAGTAGGTGCAAGTTTAGCCTCTACAAAGCAAACAATACCACCACTTACAAACCAGGTCTTCCAGTAGCTATTATTTTTCAAAATAAAATCTATTTTTAAGGATATTAGCAAAAATTCAGAGTTTTAAAAATATTTACATGATGTCGTTCAACAGTAAGATTTGGGACAGACTACCGAAGACCACGTGTTTCACTCAATAAATTGAAATTTGGTGTTTATGATGCATTAAAAAATTTTATTATTGGTGTGAAAGCTTCATTATCAGTTTTTGAAAGATTAAATATGTTATTAGGCACTTTTATGATTAGAGATAGCAATAAAATAAACAACAACAAAAATAAATCCAGTTTAATATTAGTTAAATATGAATTAAAAAAATTAAATTGAATTAAAAAAGTAAAGTTAAAATAAGCTAAGAAAACAAAATGACAACAATTTAAAAATAGAGAGAATAACATGAAGCAGGAGGATTTTAATTCTATTAATAAGTTTTTGTTGATGTTGTTTAATTTAAAAAATGTTTAATTGTTTATTTCTCAGTTTGAAGTATTTGAGATGCTGTCCAAGATGTTAAAAAAATAGAGAAAAAATAAAAAATTTAAAAATAGAGGGGGTTTCTTTCTTCATTTAGGTCTCACAATTTAATTTTCATAAATACCTATCATTTTAACTTGTCTTTAAGCGTCACAGATAATAAATTTTTTTTAAATAGCCAAGACAATACTTAGAGTCTATTTTCAATCTGTTATTATTTATTTTTTAGATGGATTTTGGAAAACTTGTCGTACAAAGTTGGAATTCGCGTACGAAGTGATCCGGATCCTATGCAAATAAATAATCAAAAGCTAAATAACGACGAAAGTTCCATTCCTCTTAATAATTTAAAGATAAAGCAGTCCGAAATCAACTGGCAAAATAAAGTTTCAAAATGTGAATTATTACAATGCAATGACAGCACTTTAAATAGTACGCACAAAAAAAATAAGGCCACTGTTCAACTATCGGATTCAGAGCTTTTATTGAGCAAAATAGATGTTTTGCTGGAAAAGTTGCGTTCAATGGAAGAAGAAGGAACAATAAAATCTGATTGGAGAATAGTAGCTATGACAATTGATCGTTGCCTGCTGATTTTTTTCGCATTAATGGTGTTAATAACTCTATTTGGTTGCTTCTCAATATCACCAGGATATGTTCCATAACCATTTAAAAATTGTTTGACATATTTCTTTTATTTAAATTTGTTTGATTTCTTTTGTTAATGAGTGTTAAGTTTTGACTCAAATAATCATTCAAGTTTTAAGGTTTTATTTTAAATATTTTAAACAGGAACTGATTTTGCAAAGGCATCGATCGTGATTTAAACATTATTTAGCATATATAACTAATTTCATGATTACTTTCTATACAATGCGTTAAACTTTTATAGAGCAATTAACTTTTTCTGCCGAGTAAAACAAAATATTATCCAAATTTTGATAAAATTTTGTTAGAAATTTTCATAAAGTTTGAATTTATTTTCTCTGAGTTGGAAATTTCTGAAAGAGAAAAAATAAATTTTATAGAGCAAGGTAACGATTGACAGACGATTTAAAAGATTGCCAATTATTTAAATCAGGAAAACAAGATGAAGTAAGCGAATTCCAAAAAATTAATGTTCGAGGGAAAAAACTAGGCTAGTAACAGTTTTTGGAACACTTAGGAACATTCACGTTAAAAGAATGAGACTTATTCGAATAACGAACCACACGAGAATGAATTGTAGTCGATGGAACAAGAGACGCCGGCTCTAGCAGTGGCCATTATAATATTTATAGAAAAGAGAAAGAGAAGCAACATTACGACGATGCGATAACGGTTGGAGAATGGCTGCAAGAGCAGTTCCAACAATGTTTACAATGCGTTTTTGCACCTTATCTAAAAGAGAAAGAGCATCATTGGAAGATCAACAACATTGAAAGGCAACATACAAGGCCGGGTTTAAGATTTATAGAGATAAAGAATAGAATCCGGAGTAAGAAAGTGGCAAGCACGATAAAGAAATGCAACCTTAACAGATGCTAACTTTGCAATTGATTTGATATATGGTTTCCGAGAAAGATCGGAAGTAAGAGTTAATCCTAGAAGACGAAGGTTATATGACTCATCGAGTACATTACCGTTCATAAATATAGGAAGATCTAGATTGTTGCGATAACAATTAACTGAAAAAAATATGCGTTTTATATGAGATAAAATTTACCAGCCATTGTCAGTCCCATGCTGTAGCTGAAGTGAGACCTTTTTCAAGCTCAAGTATCCCCTCCAAGGATTGAAAAGTGTTGTCTTCTTATCATAAAAAAAGAATAAATGGCTGTATCATCAGCAAAAAATGCCACCTTAGATGTGAGAATATCTGGAAGATTGTCAATGTAAATTAAAAAGACTATAGGGCTAAAGATAAAACCTTGAGGAACAACTAAAGTTACATGGTATGAAGAAAAGTGCTGTCCATCGAGGACAACTATTATACTACGAAGGATAAGGAAGGATTCAATAACCTTAAACCTGATAAGGTTATTGACTGTAAAAAGAATACTTATGGAGAAAACCAGCATGCCGAACTTTATCAAAAGATTTAGAAATTTTGAGAACAATAGCTTTAACCTCTCCACATCTATCTAATGCACAATAAAACCTATCGGTTATTACTGTTAGCAAATTTACAGTAGAACAAGAATAATAAAATCCATATTGATGATCAGAAAGAAAGTAAGAATCAAGATGAGAGATTAAGCATTTATTAATTAAAAACTCAAAAACCTTGCTTATGATAGTAAGAAGACTAATGGGACGGTAGTTAGACGATTCAGATTGCTCTCTAGAGCATTTGAAAACAGGGATAACAGATGCTGCTTTCCAGCAAGCTGGAAAAAAAGACCGATAAGCATTTGTTAAATAGTTTTGAAAGTATAGACAACAGATCCAGAGAACACTTTTAGAAGACTATAATAGGTATGTTGTACGGACCCCGAGTTGTAGAAGATTTTAAACAGAAAATCACTTTAGATCCATAATCATGGCTGATGCTAAACAATGGATCAACCTGTTTGTCTGCTCGATTAGGTAGAACACAATTAGTGGAATCGAGAAATAATATTAATGAGAAGTTCTAAGCAAACAATTTAGCTTTGTTATTAGATGAGGTGAAAAAATCTGAACCATACAAGAGAGGAAAAATAACAGATTTACGTTTATTATAGATACTGTTAAAGTTCCAGAAGTCTCGAGAGCCAATTTTTTGAGATGAAATACGAGGTTTTGTGACCTGAGAATAGCGGGCTTTGGTGTTAGACAAAAATTTTTACAATGGTTTCTAGTAATAATAAAAAGACATCTTTTTTCTGTAGAATGGTTTTGTTTGGATCAGACGATGCAAAGAAAACCATAGGAAAAACCAAAGACGATGCAAGGAAAACCATAGAGAAGAGTAAGGCTTGACTTGGAATTGTTGAGATGGAATAAAGGATTCCATTCCAGCCTAAATCCAAGCAGTTATGTAAGAAGTACATTTGTCAGCAAGAAGACAAAAAATTTTTTCCCAAGAGTAACCACGATGAAAATCACAGAAAAAAATCCAGTTAGCTTAAGGTAGCTATAAGAGGTACAATGATAGGGGGATTCTGATAAAGAAAATGAACAAGATAATAGTTTTAGAGAGATCAAACAATGATCAGAAGCACCTAAATGTGAATAAAGAGAAACTGAGGATTGACTTAAGTTGAGTAAAGAAAGTAAATAATTCGGATTGTTTGGAAAGGGAATAGGGAAGTTGACTACTTGTGTTAATGGTTGAGAAAGGCAAATGTTGTGAGCCTTAACGCCTGCAGAGTCACTGACACTAGAGAGATAAGCTGTTCAGTATGATGAGCATTAAATTCATTAACAACAACGGCATTGGTTGATGGATAAAGAGAGACAGCTTGGTCAATTTGATCAGAAATCATCATAAAGAATGCGGTATTAAGATGAAGGAGAGCGATATAGAACAATGAGAAAGGCAATAAAGTGAAGTTGTGCTAAACAAATGCAACTTAAAGAATAGCCTGTGGATTTGAATCTAGTTTTCCAGTAAATGGGTATATTATTAAGAATATAAATGCCCAGGCCAAACATCTGGCTTTGGGAGTCTTTAAAGATTAAAGGAAGGATCATCAAACATTAAATCAAATTACATCAAGCATCATCACTAAGATCACAAAATTAGATAGCTAAACTCAAATAGTAGTCAACAATAGATTTAGAGATCTTGGTGATGACGGTGACGACGAAGGTTTTTTGTGTTTTTTATAGTTTTTTGTACTGTATTTTTAAATTATTTAAAGAACTTGACTCAAAGCACAAATTTTAATCAGTACACTTCTTAATAGTCCAAGCAATTGTCCCAACACTAATAGAAACCCCTAAGCCGTAACAAAGGGCTCCAAATGTAGCCTTGACGATGCACACATGGAGGTATCCCTAATGATGGACACCATCCATGCGTAATATAGCACTGTTAGTACTCTGGTATTTTACAGTTGTTGATGGAATCAGCTTTTCTGAGAGCTAGCACAATGTTCGGGAAACCTGACAACCAGCCGGCCTCAGCACCATAAAACTTAGTTTTAGAGCTGTATCCTTTTTAGGAGATAGAATTAGTCATAAAACAGTCATAAAAACAGAGACAAAAGCAAAACCCATGCATTTAGTCAAAAAGTTTTTTAAAAAAACTTTTAATTCTTTAAAATCAGTGCCGGATTTAATATGTAGTTTTTTGGGTCAAAGCCCGTGGCCCCTCATATAAGGGGGCCCACATAAAATAGGTAAAAAAGTTTTAAGCTAATAATCATAAATAACTAAAATTTATCTTCTTATTTTTTAGACAATATCCACTTAAAAATATTTTTAAAAATAATTTAATTTGCTTAAAACATTAATTGTTAATTATAGGGAAAGTAGGAAGTGCATGCGGAGGCACGACAATTTTAACGTTTCTTTACAAAAAATGTAATCTAATACGGCAGGAAACATTCCATGTATTAGTAAAACAATTTCCCTTGTTTTGCTTATGTCAAAAAGAGTGCCTGTTGCATTTCTGAGAAGTTGTGCATTAATTGTTTATTTTGAAAAAATATTATATTTATATCATTTTTTTTTAACCTTTTTTTAGTGGATTATGCAATATTTGAAATATTAAACATATGTCTTTTTTACAACTTCTCTCTGTGAACTGAACTGCATAGACGCACAAGAAGCATAACCGCATATTTTTGATATTTTTCATAGTTAGATAATTATTAGCAATAATTGCTTCAATTGTCACACTTGAACGGGTTTATGTGAAAATTTGAATAGAAATAGTTTTGTTTTGAGAAGTTGGAAATCAGGTTTGGGGTCTTCCATAAAGTACGTACGCAAGTATAGGAGGAGGGGGTTACTCAAAAAGCAAGTAGGCAAGGTGCTAAAAAAAACGAGTACGTAGTCGGATTTACTATGTCTCGTCATCTATCTCTCTCCTTAAACTTGAATTTTTTCTATTTTTCAAAAACATAGAATTTCACGACTTTCAAAAATATTATTTTATGCAACATAGATATGTCAAATCAACTAAAAATGAGAAAGCTAAGACTGTAGATACATGAAGAATATGTCTAATACATAACAATGCATGCACAGTATGCAAGTGTGCTACAAAATCTGCAGATTGACAGAGCTGTGATAATTGTAAAAAAGTTTCATGAAAAGTGTACTCCAATGATTTTAGTGAGTGTGAGATTGTGTCGCACAATGGGGACACAACCGTTTTTTTCACTGAGTGTAATTTTTCTATAATAATATTAATAATGAAAACCATTTTATTTTTTTTTTAATAGTAGCAATTCAAAGCTTATTAATATGGCTATTGAATTAAACTGTTAAAAAACACATGTGTCCAAACATTACAGAGCCTATTTTACCCTTACTTCTCCTAAATTTTACCTCTGAAAATACCAAAAATATCATGTTTGTCATGAATGTTTTGAGGAATATGAGCTATAGGGAGTACAGAAAGCCGGCACACAGAAATATTTGATGGAATATAAAATGTGCGCCAAACTCCTTTAGACTGTGTATATGCAACTTCCGCTCAAAATTCACCTTCCCAGAGATTTGGTGTTGAAAGCCTTATTTCAGTGATTGATCACTATACATCTGTTCATAACAGAAGAATGTCTATGATCATATAAAACCTTTGATTTTTTTTCTAACTTGGTGGAACTTGATTTCGAGAGTGTTAAGTCA